TTTTGAACACATTATGTTTTGGGAAGAGAAACATTTTATTTCGCTGGCTCTAGCAAACCTGCCGGACTACTTTCGGCTTGACCAAAACTGGACGAGAACTCTGCTCACAGGACGCTGCCAGGGGTAAGTCAGTGTGATTGCATGACACTGGTGATGGGGATGCCGTACAGATTCATGTCAAAAATACCGAACTATCCCTTTAAGACCACTGCTATAGTCCATAAATGATCAGTAGACTCTATGCTGTGTTGAAGAGGTGCTGTTCTACAGTTACTACACTAGATGGCAGTAAAAAGCAATTGAAGGAAAAAACCCAACTACAAGATAATTTTTTGCACACAAAAATATTATCCTTTAAGATTCCCATTCAGAAACAACTAGATTGCTTGTCAAAAAAAGTTGCAAAAAACACAACAATCCTTGGAAAAGCTTCAAGAAAAGGCAAAACTGAATAATTGCTAAAGAGTAGCCTGGGTTATAGAGCAGCCTCTATTTTGGAATGTAGCTGAGCATACATAACGATCTTTCCCATGCACCATATGCCAAACTCCACCACTTCCTGGACTTCAGCCAGCTCCTTTGTTTCCGGTCTTTAATTACTGGACAAACTGATTAACCCATGTGTGTCTGGTTAATGTTGTCATGGTCACTGAGGTCAGAGACACCTTAATCAATTTGTCCAGTAATGAAACAAAGGAATGAAAGGAGCTGGCTGAAGTTCAGGAGCTACTGGAGTTTAATGTATAGCCAATTTTGCCTCAACAGCCTTTTCACTAAGGTTCGACTCCCTCATGTGTCCATTTTCTGTAACATCAGCTTGTGAAACCTTTTTAGCCACTGAGCATCCAACAAAACAATCAAAAATAGTCCAAGATCCAATGCATCCATGCAGGCCCGGCCTGTATGTAGTACCAAATCTTCCTAAGGACCAAACTAATGGACCCTTTCTTCTGTCAGGTGGTGAATACACTGAGCCAATAAATCTGATTCCTGCAAAGCGTCCCCGGCGACAGGACTGGGATGGAGAGCTCTATGAGAATGGCTCTTTTTACATCGGGACCAGGGACCTCATCCTAAAAGAAAATTCAACGCAGGTAATTCAACAGTATAACTAACTTCCTACAGTAGACAGTGGGGTCCTTTAGGTTCTTAGTTTGCATAGACTCTGATGTTCATGTTGGTGTCTGTTTAGGGCAGGAAGGTGGCCTATTTTGAGATGGAGCCGGAGCAAAGCGTGGACGTACATGTGGACATTGATTGGCCGGTGGCGGAGGAGAGAGTTCTCAGGTAAGACTGACCTTAGAAATATCAAACTGAGTCAATTATACACTTTTTCCTCTCACGAAAACAAGGTATAAGATATTAGTGATTAGAAATATCATAAAAATGTTGAAACATTTATATTAAGATGTTGCAAAATGCAAGCAAGATGTGAAAAACTGGAATCGTCATAAGACAGAAAGTGACAAACAGCTTTATAAGTTTTGTTTTCTTTGCTTCTTCCTACAGATTTGGTTACTTTGGTAGAGGAGTGTCTTTAATGTTCTGTAGGGTTTCCAGATGTTTGACAGATGGGAGGGTGTTTCTGTCCGCATCTGGAGAGGACATGGTGTCTATCCAAACTAAAGACACAACAGGGCTGAGGATGCTGCAGAACGATGGCGTTGAGGTTTGGATTTCTCAGCTGCTTGAATATTGTTTGAAGATCATTCACCAAACATGAAAAAAAAAAAGAAAACCTCTGATGTTTAGGTGGTACTGCTGATCTCCAATGAAGACCCTGTGACCCAATCAATGGCTGAGAAACTGAAGAAGGTGATGGGCTGTGAGGTTATGGA